TGTTTTCTATTGCTTAAAAGTTTGTTGAATGAACGAATGGTAAGCCCTACTCTTCCACTTCCTAGATGGAAGATAGAAAATACTGAGTAGGGAACAATACTCTAAGAACTTTGTTTCAGTTTTTTTTTTAACTTCCTCACAAGAGCTATTTTCTCTTTTGTCAATTTCTCTGTCGTGTTAGCAATGAAACTTTTTCTATAGAAAGTACCCATATTCTGGGGCAGCTAGGAAGAACAGCCCCGGAACTAGCAACTAACTTCGTATGAAGGTTTGAGGAAATAACACCAAAGGACAGGACAGGTGGCAGTGACTTAAAAGAGGAAAGGAAAGCAGGCTGAATCCCTGGAGCCTCCTATAGAAAAGGAACAGAGTCAAAGTAGGAACTGATAAATAACCTGGAACTTAACAATGGAAAGACCCACCGGGTCTTCTCTGTATTTACCCCAACACAATATGTTCGTAGCACAACATAATGCTTAGAACTCATACTGAAACCTCATCATCATCGCCTCTCTCCCAATCAAATCCTTCAGTGTCAGAAACAGCTCCCCACTCCCTTTTCTGAGACATTATTTATTATAAACTTTAGTCTACCCAGAACTTTCTTCTCTAACCTCTTTGTTTCAAGCAGAAAATCCAATTGTGTAGTTCATTGTTATCTGTTTATCTTTCTTTGTTTATCCTTTATCATTACTTGTTTTTGTTTGTTTTATTTTTACTTTTGCTCTTGTCTTAATCTGAGAATCCTATATAGCATTGAATACAAAATAGATACCTAATAATTCTGGGTGGATAAATTGAATACATTAACATTCTGAGGAAAGAAACAAGAAAGTAAAAACTAAAAGGAGAGAGAAAAGGTCCAAGAAAAACAGGGAATCTAGAATATAAGGGAAAGGAAGCAGACATATGGAAGAGGGATTGGGAGGAAGCCCAATAAATCAGATTCCATTGTGAAGACAATCACAGTGTATAACATGTTGTCAATCCACTAAAATGGAAGTTGACAGGAAATTGGCAGAAACAAGGAAATGGCCACAGGCCAACTCATACTCCTTTGTTGAAGCTTTCCACTACATTGCCTTTTTTGTAGCTACCTCGCAGTCTTAAAATCAAGCAGATTATGATTCATTCCTTATGCAAATATTGATTTACTAGCAGACTAATTTATACACAGGTAGAAGGTGATCATCTGTGGACAGCAACCCAGATGAGCCTTCCTCTGTCACCTCTTTCTTTTTAAATAAATAAAAATGTACTGTGGGATGTAAGTGTCAGTGGGAAAACATAAAATCTATGTTTTGTACAGTCAGAACAGAAGCAGCTTCTGCCATTTCTCTCTAGAAACCAACTCACTTTTAAAACATTCACTGGGGGTCTCTTATTTTGAGGCAGGTAGCTCTGTGTTATTCACTGGTATCTCACAGCACCTAGCATAATGCCTGGTACATGTCATGTGTTCAATAATTTTTTGGATATTGACTGATTGAATGAATGAATGATGGTTCTAACCTCTGGTCCACCTTCAGGTTATCATAAGTCAAAGACACAGACATATGGCAAATACAGGATAGATGAAAAAAAATCATTAATGGAGGGGTACCAGATTTTTGTTGTTCAGTTTATCTCCATCCAAAATTTATAGAATATGCTTTCTATATAATGGGAAGTATGTTAGCTCCTCGGGCACAAAGATGGAGAAACAGACCCTGGCCCTGAAGTGTGTTTTCCCTTTATCACATCTTAGCATCTATCATACTCCACTGTAACTAGTATCCATCTTGCCACTAGACTGGAAGCTCTGTAAGGGCATTGTCCATCACATAGTGAGCTATTAATAAATAGTTGGTAAATTATTGAATGGAGATTGTAGCCTCCTGAGGGGAAAGGATATACTCAGCTGTACAAAGTCAGGATCCTTACTTGTAAGAAAGAAAAGCTGACTGTTGCTGATATAGCAGAAAAGGAATATGTTGAAATGTTGGGTCGCTCTCAGAATTGTTGGAAGGTGTAGAGAATCGTGACTAAAGCTAAGCCTTTAGAAATAATGTAAAAACAAAATAAAACAAAACAAAACAAAAACACTGCAGAACCAGTCCAGTGAGGAAACTTTCTGTATTGCAGCTCCTTACCACTCACTGCCTCTTCTGCATCAGCAATTTAATCTGCAAACACTGAGAAACTGCTGTTGCTGCTAGTGCTGCCAACAAAGGCTGCCACCTCTGCTGCTATTCACATCAGCAAAACTAGAAGCTCCATACAAAACCTGTTACCTCTGGCTGCTCACATCTGAATTTAAGTTTCACGTGAATGAGCCTGATTGGCTGAGCCTCAGTCACATTTTTGAGCCCACTTGCCAGGGAGGCTGGGGATTTGAATTCTAAATAAAGGAAAACTGTTCAAAAGATGATGGGTATCCATAAATATGACAGATGTCCACTGTCCTAGAGCAATATGTGACAGGTGCTAAACCAGAGATAGGCATTTCAGATATAGTCTTTTGTTCTCTTAGAACTTATATCCTTGTAGGAAAGACAAACAATAAACATATAAATGAATATAATGATGGATAGCACCAGGTGCTACAAAGACAAAGCTGTGAGGTAGGGTATTCAAGAAAGGCTTTTCTGAGAAGATGAGCACAGACATAAATGATAAGAGGGAGCAGCAAGCACAAAGTTTCTGGGATGGGAACTGACGTGGCATTTCTAAAAAACCACAAGGAGGCTGCAGCTAAGTGAAGGAAAAAGAGGGTAGAAAATGAAGTTAGAAGAGCAGCCAAGGACCATGTCATGTAGACCCTTGCAAGCCGTGATTTTGGACTTGGAAAGGTGGCAAGGGAATGAAATGATTTGACTTGGATGTTTTAAAGGATAGAAGCAGGCTGACTGAACTGATCAGAGTATGAGCAGATGGATTGGAGCAGTAAAATCTGCCCAGATGATTAGGGAAAAGGTGATATATGAGGGGATTCTTGAGAGATGAGTGAAAACTGCCCAAGAGAAGAGGTTAGAAGGCATCTTGGGCAAAGGGAAGAAGAGGAGCAAAGACACAGTGGGCATGGAAGGCCCTGGCATATTTGCAGAACCTTGAGTAGCCTTGTGAGGTTACTGAGGGATCCAGACATGAGGCTGGAAAAATTGGGGAAAGCTAGACTGCCAAGGCCTTCCATGCTGTTCCTCAAACCTTTCATGTCACCCAAGTAAAATGTTGGTGCAGTAGTGGGGGCAGAGTCTGAGACAAAACTGGGGCTAGATCTTCCTGAGGGAGTCCAGACCTCTCAAAGAAGTTTCTAAGAGGGCAGAAAAGACACAGTTCTTTGCCCTTTTTTTCTCTCCTCAGACTAGAGAAAACATGGCCAACCCACAGTTCTGTGCTATTATCAAAGCAAAGCTGAGCATACCCACTCACATCTGAGGTACAGAAATCAGACAGCAGAGAAGATCTGAGTGTATCTCCATTAAGGTCAGTCCCAGGAGAAATTGTCAAGTAGACATCTTGTCTTCCATACTTTCTCATTTCCCTTCTGGAGTCATCTCATATTCCACCCTGGATTCCTGGGTAGATGTACATTGAGCCTTAAAGGAAGTGTTAGATGTGGACTGGTGAAGAGAATGGAAGAGGAGGAGGGCATTTCAGAAAGAGAAAACAGTGGATGCAAATGCCAGGAACCAGAAAGCATCATTATCCCTGGGCCTCCAAACCAAGGCTGGAAAGATTGGTTGAGCCTGGATTGTGAAATGCTTAGACAACGGAGTAAGCAGTCATAAGAACAATTTATCCTTAAACCAGATTCCCTGATTAAATAGAGTAACCAGGAGCTAAATGTGCGGTGCTTGCTTTTTGCCCATGGTGGATGCTAAGGAGTATTAACAGGTTTGGCTGAATCAACAGATAGACGTCTATAAACTTAGGACTGATTGCCGGAGTTAGTCTTTATGAGAGGTCATCTCCATATTGACAGACTTAACTGAGTTCAAAAAGTGTTACTTCTCATAGTTTTGGGACTGCAGTGTGGCCTTAATGTTATAATATCTGGATCAGATGCCAAAGATATGCAACATTCAGAGCTTTGCACTGATTTTAAATGCCCCGGATATTTCTATCTTCCATCTCAGCTGAGGGTTTCCCACCCAAACCGGGACTCAATCTTTGTCTTTCTCCTGTAACAGCCACGCGTTGTTACAGGCCACTTCAGAGTTCTTAGCAGAAACCAGATGCAGGCTTTAGAAGCATTGCTAGTCAAGACAGGTGAGTAGAACTGCCTCCAAGGGCTTAGCCAAAAACTATTCAAAACAGGCTATTTCATCCAAATGGGACAGCAGATACCAAGGAGAGAAGGGTCTAGGTTAGCTTTGTGCAAACTCAGCCTTGGTGGCTATTCTTGCCTGTGAAACGTTGCCAACTCTTCTGTTCCCCTCTATCCCTGCCTACTCCCCTAATCTCTTCCTGCACAGAATGTATCTTTATCCAGAGATCCAGGGAACCTGTGGAAGAGGATGACGTACAATTTTAGGTATAGAGATCACGGCTGTTTTACGTTCGGAACTTAAGCAATGAATTTGTCGAACACTCCCTCACCCCTGCCCCCGCCCCCCCTACTTAAGCTCGGTCTCTCGAAAGGAAAGCGCTGACGGCCCAAGACCTCTCAGCGGGAATTCCAACCACTTTGAGTTTCTCTCCTTCGCCTCCTAGTTTTGCTATCCTCAGCTGCTCTTTCCCCCTCTCACTCTGAGCTGCACGCACCACAGTGCCCCACCCGAAAGCTACTCTTCAAAGGCATCTCTCCTGGCCCAGAGAAGCCCGGAGTGCTCTGTATCCGGAGACGCACTAGTGCTCGCTTTTTTATCCGAGAGAACAAAACTGCCATTTCCGAAAGGAAAGTAAGCTGCTCGAGCGTTCAGGGGTCGCCCGCGAACATCACAGGGGGAGGCGGGGAGAAGAGTCCGGGCGCCGAACCGCAGGCCCCGCCCCGCGTGCAGGCCCCGCCCCCGCGCCTCCAGCCCCACCCCGTCCCGCCACTCCGGCTCTGCGCGCGACGTCCGCTCCCGGCCCGCACCCGCATTCGCTCCCTGTTTGGTTACTGCGGGGGGCAGGTGGAGCAAGGGGAGGTGTGCACGGTGAAGGGGACGCGGAGCGGGCTCGGGTGCGCGGAAGGACAGGTCTCGTTGGCGCCACCGCCACCTGTTTGGGGACCCACGAGGCCGTCGCTCCTGCCCTCAGAACAATGGGACTCGGCTCGCGAGGAAGCTTGGCCTTGTTCATCGTGGGGGCGCTGCTGGTGCTAGCGCTACTGAAGGCCGCCGTGGACAGCGCAGACACGGAGGGTAAGTGGCTGCGGGGGTCGCCAGCCCGTGCCCCGGAAGGAAGCGCGCTGCCCACGGGAGTTCCCCAGTTGAGACCTGGTTGTGAGGAAAGTTCTCTGTGTCTCAGGCTCAATGACCTGGACGTGACCGGATGGGGCTAGGGGAGACTGAGGCTCCGGCGGGTCTCCCACCTGCCCCAGAGCCGCCTGCTGGGTCCTTCCGCTGTTTTTATTGTAGGCGGCGGTCGCAGGCCTGGAGGAGTGCGTGTAACCTGTTGAGTTGCCCGAAGAACGGGCCTTAAGCGGAGGGCTCAAGTTGGTTGTTCCAGCCTTCCCCCTGAAGTTTAGGGGAAGGTTAGAGTTTACCTAAGGCTTCCTTTTATGAACAAGATTAGGTGAGTTGAAAAATACGTCTACTGATTCGTTGGGGAAACTTTCAGGAGTCTCCCCGGCGTTTTTATCGTCTAATGTTGCATCAGACAAACGATTTATAGTCTTAAGGTCCCCAGACTTTGGGGCTAATGAAACTGATTGGGAGCTTTTGGGAAGCAGCCCTGCTCTCCCGGGCGCAGGTGAGGCTTCTGCCCCGGCGGAAGGGCGCCTCCTGCCCCTGGCGTGCCGCGAACACCGGCTGAGGCGCGCGTCAACGCATCAGCTGTGCAGCCCTAAGATCACAGCTGACGATCGTCAGATCATAACAAAATGATTTTGACATTTCTCCTTGAGGGAAGGGGGTTTCCCTTACGCCCTTGGCCCTTTGGAAACTTTTAAAGAGTCCTTTTTGAGTAAGGCCAGGAAGCTGGGATTTGCTGTGTAAATGCCATTTTCTCTTTGCGAATTATTGTAGAAATCTGGTTACTTACTAGTCAGTAAACTAGGATAAGATGCTTTAATTCAGCCTTTTCATGTATTTAAATTCTATCCAACTATTGTATATTTAGCCTTAAATTAGTTTTACCCAGCAAGAGATAGAGGGCAGTTTGCAAAACCAGACGGTTCATGTACAACACCTGCTTTTGCTAGAATAATCTGGTGAGACAATAACAATTTTTGTATTGCCGAATTTTTTTTGTTTGCTTTGCTGAATTGTGCATGTGACAAATTGTCTTTGCAGATCTAATTTTGAGATTTAAGAAAGTAAGGAGCAGTAAATTATGTCCCTCATATTTTCAGTATTATGAGGTGTCTTATTGTAAAAGTGAACAATCTGGAATGAAACAGCATATCTTAGTTCAAATTTTACACCAGTATTTACTAGGGGAGGTCTCCATTTTTTTTTTTTTTTATTTGTTACTTTGTGAAAGTAAACCTTTTTATTGTTTCTCTAAAGAATTAGTGATTAGAGAAACTGATCAGTCCTTGCTTTTCTTTTCTTTTGACCTCATAATACACTTGCCCTATTTTAATACTTTATGACTGTTCTGTTTATTAATGTCTCACTAGAGGTTAGTGTTATTTGGAAAACTTGGAATGAATGCTATACTATACAGAAGCCTGCCTTTCATGAACTAGTATAACCTACATAAGCTGGAATCCATTTCTACAGACTATAATGTCACGTTAAATCTAGAGTAAAAGAAGGTTCTGTAGATGTCTCAAAGCAAGTAAATGTCCTAGTCTTCATATACATGTGTAATCCGTATAAAGTGTCATTATGAAGTACGGTGATTTTTAACAAGCATACTAGAGCTTATATGGCCAATTTTTACTAGACACTTCTATGTACCTCATACTGTGCTAACTGAGGTCCACACCACATCTCATCGGATCCTCACAGTATTATGTCCATTTTACAGATGAGGAAACTGAGGCTTAAAAGTTACCTAACTTATTCAAGTAAAAAAGCTAATACATATTTGATTTCATAGACCAGAATCCAAATGCTCAATTCACCATTTTGCCACTAAGCCACATTAGGCGATGTTGGCTTTTCAAGTAGATAATGCTTAAATCCACAATACTGCCATTGCCCAGAATATTGTGGGAGAAAATTTAAAAAATATATTGAAATTCTTTAAAAATGCCCTTTACAGTCTGCTGCGTAGTTTCATAAATATCCTCAGATGGAGGAGGGGGAGACAATGAATAATTCAGCAAACCACAAACACAATCGTTTGTGGTAATACAATAAGAGACATAAGGGAGGGCAGGATGGGGAGACTATTACTTAGGACTCTTGGTGACTAGTGACAGACACCCACTTTGAATAACCTTAGGGGAAAGAAGGGCCTTTATTGACTCTTTAATGGAAAAGTCTAAGGATTAAGGTGGCTTCAGAAATGTTATATTCAAGAGTTCAAATAGGTTGCCAGGAGATGGGCACTTCTTTTGAGTACATCTATCAAATCTCAGGCAAGCCATAGTTAAACTGTTCTCAGACTGGTTGTGGGGGGGTGGAGAATATGACACTTCACATAACAGGGACTTTATAAGTGAGTCTCAGGCTTCAAAAGCCACCATAATGGGTACCCAGTTAGGAAATGAAATTAATCCTTAGTGAGTCTATGCCACTTCATGAATTTAACTTTCTTTTTTTTCCCATTCAGTACATTATAATGTTGAATATTTGGTCTTTCTGTCAAGTAAAGCACTGACCTCCTTGTACTTAAGGTTATCCATGACATTTTTTGTTAGAATACAAAAACAGTGCCTGTCCACAGTTGGTGCTTCATAAGTATTTATTGGAAAAAGAAAAGTTAGAGAGATTGTCTTTTCTCAAGCAAAAAATAAAAAATGGGTTGCCAGGAAATCATCCCTCACAAGAGTTACAACAGCAAGGAGTGACAAAAACAGGAGACTTGTAGTCATCCAGGCAAAAGATGATGATGTATGGTAGTGGAGATAAATGGATGGATTCTAGATCTCTTTGGGATGTGGAACTGAAATCACTTGCTAATGGATTGGATGGTGGAGTGAGGCGAGAGAGAAATCAAAGGATGACCTCTTGGTTTGGGGGTTGAGCAATTGATAATGTAACTGGGAAGACTGAGAGAGAAGCAGGTTTATAGTAGAAAATCAACAGTTCCATTTTGGCACTGACATGCACGGGCTTTAGAATCAAACAACCTGGTCCAAATCCAGACTTTGCCACTTACTAGCTGGGTAGTCTTCTCTGGGCCTCAGTTTCTGTCACTGCAAGACAATACTCCTGTCTCACAATTGCTGGGAGGGTTAGATGAGCTAATGCAAGTCATATGCTCCCAAGGAAGCCCGGTGTGTACTAAGCTCTTTATAATATTGGCATTTATTTGATACCTACTGCTAAATACATCTGTATTGTCTACTGACCTTGATCTTTTTCAAGTTTAATCTTCACATCAGATCTTTTTGTGATCCTTTTTTGGGGGGAGGAGGGGGCTATCTTTGTGAAAAGTACACAGTAATACACTTGCTCTCTTCGCATGTGGTATGTGTGTTTAATCTTTCATTATGCAAAGACCTAGGGTGGATAAAACAACTGAAAAATTGCTTAACTGGGGCATAGAATTCTCCTAAACCTTTTCCAAATCTTAAGGTACTAGTTAAAAATTAAGAGTCATACTGAGAAGGCTTGCAATTAAAAGTAAATTTATCTTTGCATTGTGTGAAATTAGTGATTTTGGTGGTGCGAGACCTAGGGGCACCCATGAATAGGAAGGGCCCCTCCTGTGGTGGTCCACTCCACTCAGAAGAGCAGGGTTGTAGCAGCAGAGATCGGTTTCTCTCTCAACAATCACAGTGTCTTCCCTCATGTGGATGAATGAACTTTGACAAAGCTATTATATAATTAGCCAATAATAGTGGCACATAGTACTGTGTAAATATTTGTTACATAAGGTATATGTTTTCTGTCTTGAAAAATTCAGTAATACATTTCCAGATTCATTGACAGTTTCAAGTTATATTTCATAGCAACAGTGGCAAAAGTAGAACTTCCTATGGAATAATCTACCCTCCTCCATACCAGCACCACAATATATTGCCAGTGTTCTTAAATATTAAGTGTCCTTTCATCACAGGATATTTCTTTATTTTTATAGGATCTTCAAATGGAAATCTTTCCACAGTTCTCAAAACCTCCACTATTGAACCAGCAGGTGAGTTTTAAAAGGTTCAAGAAATGAATTTTCATGTGTCTAGGATACATAAAGTAATATCAGCCTGGAAAGCTGGTGTACTGACCTGTTTTAACCATCGGTTATTCATTCATGAATCCCTAAAGCCTACCTGAAAGACTGCCCTTAGTAGGCGTCAATAAATGATAGTCCGCTGGATGAATAGTCTTTCTCAGTTTAGCAAAGACGTGAATAAATTCTAAAAGTAAAAGCATGTTAGAATTCATACTGAGTTTTGAAACACATTTTTAGGTGTGAAAGTTTTGCACTCTGCCTGTAGATATAAAATATGAATGCATAAGTCTGCTGGTCTTGATGGTGAAACAAGGGAATCTAAGCTGGTCAGCTATGCAGCCTTAATTTGCCTTGGCAGACTCTCAGTAGACCTTGTTTACATTTCACCCATCAATCAAACTTCATTCCCACTATCTCCCTTCCCTATTGAAACAATTGGCAAGTCTTTTTTCCCTGTGCTTTTAGTTTGGAACAAATGGATTTCTTCCTTGGAATTCCGAACTCACTAACATGGAAAGATACAGGAATCAGAGTGATGTCATAAATATTAGTAGTAAACCATCAGGGCATGTTTCTTATAAGCAATACTTAGGTTATCTTCTTACTATCTTTATTCTTCAGAGTTGACTGAGGTAGAAACTAGAAAAAGGTACACAGATCTTATCACTAGGCCCATTTTTTTTCCTACTTTTATTCAGCCAATTATCATTGAGTGTCTTTAATGTGCTGACATGTTGTAGGTGCTAAAAATACAAAATGGATCCAGTCCTGGCTTTTTGGAGTTTTAGAGGGCTTTTGTTTTGTTTTCACTGTGGAAAAATATACATAACATAAAATTTATGGTGTTAACCATTTTTAAGTGCACAATTCAGTGGCATTAAGTGCATTCACATTGTTGTGCAACTTTGTGGAGCTTTTGTTTTCATGGGTGCTCCGTGTAGTTCATATTCTTAGTTGACCTCTGTTTATTTGGCACCAATCCCAAAAGGAAAATAACATCTTTCTTTAACAAACTCCTCTCTGATGTGTATTCCAGGAATGTGTTGTTGGGAAAAATGGAAACTGCCAGCAATATTATTTAACAACATCAGATCCCTATCACTTTTATAGGACTTACCACTTTGGATTCAATAAATCTTTCTCTATTTTGTTTGTTTTTTTGGTCTTCATCTAAGTTCCTTAAAAGTGGTATTTGTGATTTTTCATCCTAGCACCTAACGGTATGCCAGTACATAGCAGATAGCTTTTCATTCTCTGCCTTTCCTACAAATTTCTGGCTGAACAGTTTTAGTAATTCTACTGAAAATTTTTTATTGGGGGGTAAGTGGAGACCCCTAAATGTAAGATTGTTAGGCATTTGTGGGATGGTTTTTTAAAAATATTTTATTAGATTCTTAGGTGTCTTTTCCTATTGGCCTTTATTAAATCTGATTATGTATTGCAGAACTTCCTGAAACTATGGTGTGGCATTAACTTTAAAAAACACTTTTTAGCCAAGATATACCACTGCTGACAGTAACTGTGAATGATTGTTAAAGATCAATGCAGTACTCTGAGAACTGCTCCAGAGTCAGGGAGATGATTTAAAATGCCCCCTCTAGCCCAAGGAAATTTTTGAGAAAAAAAAGAAAGCACTGCTTTAAAATTTTTTATTCTAAAGAGACCAGATAATACGAGTATCATAAAAAATTTTTGTTGTTCAATGTGTAACACTTCCCATAACTGTTATAGTCCTCTTATATCCTTTTTGAATCTTGAAAACTCTTATGTAACATGTTGAACTGATACATTTTTATAGGACATGATGCTTAATCTTTTCTTTTATAGAAACATAGACTTTTAATCTTTGAATCATTATTTTTTGAACATATTATTTACCAATGTATTTTGTGCTATTTATTTAGTCAAGTTTATGTGGCACCAATCCCAAAAGGAAAATAACATCTTTCTTTGACAAACTCCTGTGTGGTGTGTATTCCAAGAATGTATTGTTGGAAAAAGTGGGGACTGCCAGCAGTATTCCTTACATCAGTTGCCTATTGCTTTTATAGGACTTACCACATTAGATTCAATGAATCTCTTTTCTCTATTTTGTTTATTTTTTTAGTATCCATCTAAGTTCCTTGAAAGTGGTATCTATGATTTATTCATCGTGGCACTGAACACTATTGCCTCGTACATAGCAGATATGCATATATGTTGGTTTAACTGAATTGTGGAATCAAATACATATTTTGTCGTTCCTGACTGAACCTTATCAAAGAACCACTATATACATCTTACAGAGACATGACTGGTTCGTGCTCCAGTCTTATCCATTATTATAGCTGGGGTTTTTTTCTTGTTTATAGAGTAAGATAGATACTTGAGGTCAAAGAAACAGGAATTAAGGTTACTTTCCAGTTGTTCCACTGAATTATATATAATGGTTCTTTTATTTTTCAAGTGCCCTAATCGTTATTTGAGGACAGCCATACTTCTGACATTCTTTTCTTTAGGGACTTGTTTAACACTTTTAAGGATTTGTTAATGTTTTCAGATTATGTAGAAAATAATTTCCCCCATTTCATATATAGTCAGAGGGTTTATATTTTAGGGTCTGTAGATGGATGAATTTATTCTTTATGGTACAAGGAAGACACATGCCCAGATGATTTTTAATAACAGGGGTTCGGGCAAAGATATAAGGAACTGTGACATGGTTCAGAATGGAAAGTCTGTCTCATCAGTAACCAGAACATTTCACTGTCATTCAGGATACAGTCTTCTCCTTGATTGCTTAGCATTGATGCTGCCCCCAAAAGAGGAATCTCAGGGGTTCTCAGGGTACTACCATCCAGTGTGAAGCTCCTTTCTTGGGCATAATTTGTAGCAAGCCAGTTTCAAAGCAGTTGATTTCCCTTACTGTTCATCTGTATGTGATTGCCTTTGTCTTGGTAACCCATCCTTGGTCCAGTTACTTGAGCTACTCTAGTAGGGCTGGTTTTCTCCATAGGTTTGGCAGGACCATAGCAAATTTGAGCAGATGACTGTGGGTTGGACTTATATTTCTGAAGAAGAAGGCAGTGGAAATTTCAGAACAGCTTACTCAGATAATTCTGTATTCCAATTTTTACCCCCCGTGGAAACACTAAAAGTTTTACTGAAGTGGAAAGAATTTATCAGGTACATAATTCTATATTCCATACTACCTTATTCTACTTATTTTGGGTAGAATGTTTTGTGATGAAAGAAGATGGAAACTTCCTGCTAGGTTGTGAACTACTACAAGACAGGAACCAGTTGGCCTGACAAGTTGCTTGTAGATGCAAATGGCGCTAGATACGTACGAATGTACATACATCATACATACATACAAAGACAGATGGACAGACATAGATATTGATATTGATATTTGTTTGTAACTAGAGATTGATGTAGGAAGGAATTTCCCTAACTACTATGAAGAACTTGTTTTTACTTAAAGAACTGCCTTAACTCCTCAAACACTATTGTGTTCAACTCATGTTTTTGAGATTGCATTTGAAAATTGCTGGTAACTTTTAACAAAATTAGATGTCTCAAGGAATGTAGAATAGGAAAATCATGCAATATTATGTTCACTTTTTCACTGAACAGATGTTTGTTTTGACTGCCCACTCTTGCTAGTCGCTGTTTTAGGCACAGGCATCTATGGGTAAATAAGATGCATAACTCTGCTCTCTTGAAGTTTAAATCCAGGTGGAGAGATAGACTATAAGGAGAGAAACAACTAAAGAAGATGGTTTGGGATTGTGATTTTAAAAAAAATGATGAACAGGATTTTACACACACACGCACGCACGCATACACGCGCGCACGCGCGTGAATGTGGTAGAGAATGACTCCGGAAGAGCTGCTTCCAAATGGGTGGTCAGGGAGGACTTCTCTGAGGTGGGATCATCTGAGCTGAGACCTGACTAACTTGAATATGAATTCTAGTTTGAATAATAGAATAGACTCAACTGAGATTGAATACGTGACACTTCTTTTTGTTATCTTTTCCTTAAATACTCCTTTTTCACAGGAAGTTGGCAGGCTAGCTCTGGATTCATGACTTCTTTCAGAATAAAATTCAGATGTAGCTCATCACATTGAGAAATACATAAAGATTTCTCAAGAGTAACTTTCCCACGTGTATAAAGTTCTTAGGAAGAGACTTTGTCTGATGTGCTGATTAGAGTTAAGCAGTAATTAGTGTCGTACATTAATTATTTGGCTCTTCATCTTTCTGCTTCTCTTTGTCTTTTTCTTAATATATAGTTTTGTTTAAAATTTATTATAAAATATAACTAATGTATATACACGATAGTCTAAACAGTATGTACGTGAAAATGTAAAATACATAATACCAGTCTTCCTTTCTCCACTGAGCCTCACTCAGTCCTTTTCCCAAATGTACATTACTGGTCAAAAGCCAGACTCATTATTTCTACCCAAAGATCTGCTGCTGTATTTCTTATCTCACTTGGTGGAAAAAACTGTTCATAAAGTGTCTCAAGCCACAAATGGTTACTAGTTTCACATGCATCCTTCCAAAAAATAACTTAAGCATAATCTATATGTATTATATATGTTTTTTATTAACATAAGTGGATAATGCTAAGCACACTGTTCTCTACCTAGTTGGTCTCACACCTCGTCCTTCCTAATAGCTGTATATTCCATGGCACAGATGCAACATGATTTATTTACCCAGTTCCCTACTGATGGACATTTAGGATATTTGCAGTCTTTGCTGTTTCAAGCAGAGCTACAGTGAGCGTTCTTCCTGGTAAATCTTGGCATTCTTCTGCAGGGTGCCTGTGGTGCTCTTTTCTAGTGGTGGAATTGTTGAGTCAGTGGTGTATAAATTTTAATTGGTGATACATTGCTAAATTTTCTTCCAGATTATACCAGTTTACTCCCACTAGCAGTACCAATGGTGCCTATTTCCTGCAGCCTCGACA